TCTCAAGGAGTATATGAGAAAGACAAACAATAAGCAAACAAATAAGATATGTGGTTTATCAGATAGTGATAAATGTTTTAGAGAAAAATACAGCAAGGGAAGAGAGGAAGAATGTTGGGGGTGTTGTAGTTTGCAGTAGAGATATCTAGGGAGGGCCTCACTGAGAAGGTAACTTCTGAGCAAAACCTTAAAAGAGATGGTGAGCAGGGAATATGGGGGCAGACAGGAGCAGAGGATGGGAGGCAGGAGGATAGCAAAGACCCTGATACAGAGATGTGTCTGGATGTTTAAAGAATAGCAAGGAGGCCAGTGTGGCTGAAGCTGAGTGAGGGAGAAAACAGTAAAAGATATGGTCAGATGGTGATACGGGTGGTGGCCAGATTATGTGGTGCCCTGAGGCCACCAAAAAGACTTCCTCTGAGTGAGGTGGCGCCATTGGAGAGTGTTGAGCACATTTCAACAGTCCTCTGAGGTGGCTGTGTAGAGAACAGACTGTAGGGGGCAGGGGCGGGAAGATCATTTGTGTCTCCTTTTCCCGATGTTCACGTAAACTATGGCATTTATTTACTGTTCCACAAACCTGGTGTGCAATTTATAACTTCCAGTTTTCCTAATATTCAACCGTACCTCTTGGCCCATCTAAGTCCTATCCAAAGCAAACTCTCTCGCATCTTTGAGAGGACTAGGAAAGTGTTTGAGGAAGCCAGAGGGACAGGTTCTCAACCCTGAAAAGAGTGCCCCACTTGCTGATAGTCAAGGTGGAAAAACACGTCCAGTGGAAAGCTTCAGAGGTGATGGGAAGGATATGGACATGTGGAACAAACCTAGGGACTCTCTTTCAGCTCATACAATTGATAAAGCAACCCAAGAAGATTGTCTGCAGGATTGATTGATTAGTATTTTGTGTTAAATTTCTTTTTATTTATATTTCTGATCATCATATTCAACTCCAATGTTAAGTTTCTAACTTTGAATTATTCTATTGCCTTTTTTTTTTTTTTTTTTTGACCTCTCTCTCTTTCTTTTTAAACAGGGCCTTCAGCAGGATGGCAGAGATCCACGGGCTCGTTTTGTCATCTTTTTCTTTAGAAGAGTTCAGGTGTTCCTGCGCTTTTTTTTGAATAACCATTTGCTGTAAAAGGAATGTAAATGTCAAATTCTGTTTTCCTTCTGTCCTCTAAGAAGCATGAATCCCACTGGACAGAGGGGAAGACACCCTTCTCCATCTTCCTCTATTTTCACCCATCACTGTTGGTCTATGCCTGTTTTGTTGGAGAATCATTTGTCTTTTCAGAGCAACGAGCTAGTAGATGTCTGTGATTGCCTCATGGTGAAGCCCAAGGAGTAATTGGGAACCCAGGGGGCCTTGCCACCCAGAAAACACCAGTGCTGTGGATGGTCTCAAGGGCTCCTCATAAAGAAATCTTGAGCATTTCCTTCCATGAATAAAATATTAATAGAACCTCGTCCTCAAAGCAGAAGCCACAGAAATGGGCACTTTCTCCTGGGCTTCTCCCTGGGTACCATGCTATCTAGTGACTTGTTGTCCCTACTCTTGTTACCCATGTCCAGATCTGCAGTGCCAGCTCCTCCTTCTCAGCCACACTTCCCCACCTCCAGCACCCCAATCCCAACTCCTATCCTCTCTGGAAAATGGAAGGAAACTTTCTGTCTCTCAAACTCAAATCTAACATATGGCCCATCTGCATTTCCAGTTCCATGCCTAGAGGCCCCACTAGCACCACCACCACTGTTGGGTGTTTCCAAATACTTCTCAGGCTCTGACTCTACATTTAAGTTCTTTTCTCATTTTTTTTTTTATCCTCTCACTACTCTGTGACCCCCTTCAGTCTTCTTCAACCACTTGGATTTTTTTTTTTTATTGTTATTCTACCATGCCAGCAGGCGTCTTTCACTGCTCTGCTGTCCTCCTTTAGGCTTGCCTGCTTAATATAGGGAGTGCATAGTTCTTGGCCAACAGTCCTGCCTTCTAGAGGAGTGCAGGGCCTGAATGAGTTAGGAATTCATCACAAGGCAAAAACTTATAACTATTTCTATTTGCTATCATTTGGTTGGTGGGCCCTTTGTCAGTTTTTATTTTGCTCATTCTCTTCTACCCTTTCTTATGTAGTTCTTTCACCTTCATTCTTCTTTTACCTTTTTGTCTATCTCAAATTCCCTCGCTCCCTCCTTTTGAAAGAATTATAAGTATTGAGAAAGTTTGTTGTTGTAAATTAAAAGTTCATTGTATGCATTTTGACTTCATAGGAAAAATGTTATTTAAAAAATAATTTCAAAAATGAAATAAATATTGTTATGTTATTAAGCATGAAACACCTGTGCAGATTTCTTTTGTGAAGGAGGGATTTCACTTATTCCTGTTCATATTGGTTTGTAAACCGTGGTTGTACCTAGCTAGCATTGCCTTTGTCTTTCTGATAGAAATGACCCCATCTTTTAAGTCTTTTTCAGGTAATGCCCATTTGTTTCCATTATCACTAAGGTTATGGCTGGCTGACATGGAACAGACCCTAACGCTTCCGTTTTATTTAGTTTTTATTCTTTTGAATAGGTATTTATTTATATGGTTCAAAAATCAAAACAGGCTGGGCATTGTGGCTCACATCTGTAATCCTAGCACTCTGGGAGGCCAAGGTGGGAGGATGGCTTGAGGTCAGGAGTTCAAGACCAGCCTGAGCAACATAGCAAGACCCCATCTACCAAAAATAGAAAAATTAGCCAGGCAAGTTAGCGCAGGCCTGTAGTCCCAGCTACTTGGGAGGCTGAGGCAGGAGGATCACTGGAGCCCAGGAGAGGTTGCAGAGAGCTATGATGATGCCACTGCACTCTAGCGGGGTGACGGAGTGAGACTCTAAAAAAAAAAAAAATATATATATATATATATATATATATATATATATAAAGGTTTATAGTGAAAACCCTGTCTCTTATTTTCTACTGTGAATTCTAGTTATTTTTATAGTTATGTATCCTTCCAGAATTTATTTGTATAAATAATAAACATACACACACATGTATATCATGTAATACACACTATTCTCTACCTTGACTTTTTTTTTTGAGACAGAGTCTCTCACTTTGTTGTCCAGGCTAGAGTGAGTGCCATGGCGTCAGCCCAGCTCACAGCAACCTCAAACTCCTGGGCTCAAGGGATCCTCCTGCCTCAGCCTCCCAAGTAGCTGGGACTACAGGCATGCACCACCATGCCCGGCTAATTTTTTCTATATATATTAGTTGGCCAATTAATTTCTTTCTATTTTATAGTAGAGACGGAGTCTCGCTCTTGCTCAGGCTGGTTTCAAACTCCTGACCTCGAGCAATCCACCCGCCTCAGCCTCCCAGAGTGCTAGGATTACAGGCGTGAGCCACCTCGCCTGGCCCCTTGACTATTTTTGCTTAGCATGGTGATCAGGCACTATTCTAGGTGCTTTTCAAATTTTAACTCACTCTTTTTTCTTTTTTTTTTTTGAGACAGAGTCTCACTTTGTTGCCCTGGCTAGAGTGCCGTGGTGTCAGCCTAGCTCACAGCAACCTCAAACTCCTGGGCTCAAGCAATCCTTATGCCTCAGCCTCCTGAGTAGCTGGGATTATAGGCATGTGCCACCATGCCCGGCTAATTATATATACACACTTTTAGTTGTCCAATTAACTTCTTTCTATTTTTGGTAGAGATGGGGTCTCACTCTTGCTCAGGCTGGTCTGGAACTCCTGAGCTCAAAAGATCCTCCTGCCTTGGCCTCCCAGAGTGCTAGGATTACAGGCATGAGCCACCGCGCCTGGCCTGAATCCATATTCTTAATTGCTATGCTGTACTGCCTCTTGGAGAGCTTGCTATGGTCCACAGAGAGTCATCAGATTCTGCACAGTATTCTGTTAAAATGGATATACCATAATTTATTTCATTAGCCCCGTTTATGAACACTTGAGTTATTTCTAATCATTTGCTGTTATAAACCATGATGAAATAAATAACCAAGTATATTTGGGATATTTGTTGAATAAATACCTGGTAGTAGGATTGCTAGGTCAAGGCTAAATGCATTTGTATTAATAACTTGGCTAGATCCTGCCATAATACCTTCCATGAGATGGCACCACTTTGAACTTCCAGTGGAGTGCCTGTTCCCTTCATCCTCTCCAACAGATTATGTTATTAAACTTCTAATTTCTTGCCAAATTTATAGGTAAAAAATGATATCTCAGAAAAACTTTAATTTACAGTTTTTAAATAGTGAATTAGTCTGAGCATCTGTTTCTATGTTCAGGGGCTGTTTGGCATTTTGTTTTAAGTGGACTCTTTATTCATATCTTTTGTTCATTTTTCTATTGAGTTGCTGGCCTCGTTCTTATTGGTTCCTTACTGCTGGCCTTGAGCTTATGATATGCTAGTACTAAACCTTTATAACAGCATCTACACCCTCAGGTTTTCAGCAGAACGGTTTTAAGGCTTTTTCCTTCCTTGTTTTTGGCGTGTGTTGGTTTGCTTTTGTGTTTACAACTTCTCTCGGCTTCCCCTCAAGGCATAGGGAGCTGAGGGAAGTGGACATAGTGATGGGTGAGCGGGCACCACCCTGGAGCAGCTAGAGGCCTAGGAGAGGTGTCAATAGGGACCTCTGATTACTCGGACCTCATCCAGGAGGAGCACCACAGCCTCTCCGATGGTGGCGTTACCCACGTGGGCTGTGGGCATTCCCTAAGGGGAGGCTCCTACTCCGCTAAGACCCCCTAGGCGGCCCCCTCCTATCCATCCGCGGAGACGCACAGGGGCGACCTGAAGCTGACCTGTCGTGGTCCTGAGCCCAGGACCAGCGGTTCCCTGTGCTTCTCAGATCCCGCAGAATGCCACCTCTGTCCCCCTGGAGCCAAGATCAGGCTGCCCTAGGGGCTATCCACCTGCGGGAGGTTGCCAGCAGCCCCCCCCTCCCCCGCGGGCGAGTGGGCGGAGCTCGGCGGCTTCGCTCCCTCAGGGGTAACCCCTGCCCTCCCACTAGCCTGCTGGGGCAGGAGTGAAAGACGGATCCTGCTCTTTCGTTTTCGTTTCCGGGAAGGCTTGCCTGGGGACCTGAGCGCACATGCTCTGGTGCTTCTCAAAGAGATTTCCTCCCTCACAACCTGCCAGTTCTCAGGGCCAAGTCAGGGGTTTGCGGGAGGAGGTCTCAGGGAGCGCAAGCCTAGGGCCCCAGCAGCTACAGCCAGGGGAGCGCTCACGACAGAAAGCCGGGTGGCTCCCTCACCTCCACCTGTAATGCAGGTAAGAGCCTGGAGGCTGAACATGCAGCGCACACGCGGAACCACCTGCACCCCATCCTTTCTCCACGACCTCAATTTCCAAATCCATTTTATCAGACTTTTTTCCTGGCCGGAATCTCACTTTCCATCACAATTCTAAACCTCACCGTCCATCCCTCACCAACCTCCCCCTCTACCTCCAGACACTGGTCACCAGCCTCACCCCGCCCCATGTTACATACGATTTGGAAGGCATCATGGTTGTCACCTCTATACCAACCAGATGTGAGGTCCATGGAGGTTCCTGCACAAGTCAGGTCCTCACAGCTGGCAAACGCACTCATGCTGTGACCCCCTTCCCCTAAGCAGTCCCTCCCCACTTGTGGTTTTCCCTAGGATCTTCAGAACTGCCCCCTGGAGCTGGAACCCAGTCCCACCCACAAGGCCTTTCTATATTCCGCTCTCTCCAAGGTCCGTGCCCATGTATCAGATCCCTTCCTGGCAGAAGTATGACCCTCAGCAGCTCCCTGACTGGCATTTCCCATGCAGTTACAGCCTTGGAATTCCCCGTTCCTCTTACTTAGAGGAGGACAGAGAAGTAGACAAGGAGCCTCCTGCAAGTCCTAGGCAAGTCCTTGGCCTGGAGCCCCTTCTCCAGCAAGGAAAAACCCCTTCCCCCACGAGGTGGCTACCTCTGAGGCTTGGTTACCTGGGGAACAGCACCAATTGGGGCAGGAGGGAGGGACCAGCCAGAAATGAAGTGAGAACTACCCCAAAAGGTGCTGAATCCCTTTTTGGCAGCCAAGCCTTCTGGAGTTTGCTTTGTTGGCTCCAGCTCCAAAGATCTTTCACTGTAGATTTCCGTCCTCAGACCCAGAGAGATGAATGTAAGCTCTTGAAGATACTAGAATGAAAAAATGACTCTTGCTGGAATGGGTTTCACTTTTCCTTTCCACAGTATGACAGCCTGTGGCTGGGCATAAGACCCAAGGAGCCTCCTGTTTCTACAAAATCCTGTCACTTTTTGAATTCTCTAACTCTGATGGACGAACCAGATCACTTCTGGGATCTATGCTGCTTGTAAAATTGTAAAGAGACAGACTTCCCTTACCAAGACCTTGGGGTTCAGAAATTTATACTTTCTTTTTCTCTTTTGAAAATAGTATTTATGTGTTTGTTTCTGATTTAAGGCCTTTTTATCTTGGGTTCTCTTCTCAAGGTTTCAGTGAGTAGTCCTAGGCCTTCAGATTCCAATCTTTCAAGTCAAGTCTTGGCAGGGGATCACTCTGGTAGAGTTAGGCACATACATAGAAAGCTTGAATCAAAAGGATAAAATTTGTCAAGTATCCACTCTGTATAAAATGTCGATGATACCATGTTGAAGACATCCATGGTTCCTACCTTTAAGGTTGATGCAGTCTTTTGGCAGAGATGAACACTCCTTCCCTTCCAAAAAAAATCCTTAATACATTTAAAGATGGCTGGGTTTTCACCAAGTTGCTCTCCCTTAACTGCCCTGGTTTTTTCTCCTAGGAGGGAGCATTGGCTGGTTCTCCTGTAAGCCCCATGGCAGCTGTGCCACCCCGAGGCACCCAGGTCCAGGCCAGATGTGAAGCTCAAATGCACCTGCTGGGTGAGGGGGGGATCTGCAAGCTGCCAGGAAGACTCCGTGAGTAGATGGGAGGAGAAAAGCTGATTTTTTTAAATTAATTTTTAATTGAAAATTATACATTATAATTGTATATATTTATGGGATACAAAGTAATATTATGATATATGTATACAACGTGGAATGATTGCATCAAGCTAATTAACATAACCAATACCTTAAATACATATCATTTATCCTTCCTAACTGCAACTGTACTCTTTGGCCAACATCTCCCAGTCTCTGTGCCTCCCAGTCTCTGACTATCACTATTCTACTCTCTGCTTCTATAAGTTCTGTTGTATTAGATTCCACTCATAAGCGAGAGCATGTGGTATTATCCTTCGGTGCCTGGCTTATTTCACTTAGCATAATGTCCTCCAGATTCATCTGTGTTGTCACAAATAGAAAAGCCAATTTTGTAAACATACACATGATGTACAGACTCTTTTTATCTAAGGAATTATCTTCTTTCTGTTTGCTATATCTGTGCTAGGTTTTCTTTAACTTTCTTTGGTGAGGAAGTCAGAGAAGGTGCACAGCTGACATGGCCAAGTGTGGGGGCAGTTACCTCATTGGTAAGATGAGGGTTGGGATCAAATGAGCCATTGGGTCCCTTTCAGCCTAAGGACAAAGAGTTGGGGACATTGGCAGTGAGGAAACCAGATGAGACTAAACGGTTTATGTTTATGCATGTAGTTATATGTATGTATAACCCTCTTTTAAATAATTATGTTTAATTTTTGTGGTTACAAAATTAGCATGTGCTTATTGTCAGCAATTGGGAAATGACAAAGAAGCATAATAAAAATACATAAAATCACCAAGTCTGAACCAGAGATAACCATGGAATATACTGGCCATCTCCTCATTTCCTTTTCCTCAGTAGGGCTCTTACCTGAGGAAACTTACAAGCATGGAGCAGACTATAGATTGATGTATTTATGCCTGTGTTTCAAATGGCAAAGCTGAGAGGCAGAAAAGCTAAGTGACATACTTAAGATCGTACAGGCTCTTGATGGATGCTACAGCCAGACCTTGGTCCTGCTGGTAACTTCTAAGAGATTTATTAATAAAAATGCACTTCCCAAGCCATGAAATCAGCAGATGGGCAGCTGGCTGGCTGGGGTCTCTGATCTGGGTGGGAGTCTTGGAGCAACTGTGGGCAGGCACATCTGAGCTGGATTGTGAAGCCTCTGGGACACTTCCTTTCCAGCTGGCCCAGTGGCTGGAACCCTGCTTTACTGATTTCGCACCCTTCTGATTTCCTGGCCACAACCTGCTTATTGAGCCGCTGACAGGACTGAGTCGAGGGTTGAGCAGAAGGTGCTCACAGGCCTACATGCCTCTGCTGTCCACAGCCTGACATCCTTTTAATGGGGAGCACACCCATCTTTCCACAGTTAGAGGGAAGTTGGGACTGACACTTTGGATTCCCCCAGAAGCAGGCTCTGGAGGGAGAAGAACATAGAGGAGGCCCTAGTGCCACAGGGCAGTGACTGAGGGAAGTGACAACTCTACTTGGGGAGAGGGCCGGGGAGCTTTACAAGGACTGTCCATTGCTTCAATCTGTCCTACTCACAAAGTCCTAGAATGTCCAGCTGGTAGAGACCCTTGCTTGTTATTGCATCAACTAACTCTGTTGTATTCCAAATAAGGAAATCAAGGCCCAGGAGACTGCCCTTGGTCTGCCCCAAGGTCATCGAACCTTCAGTTTGCTCCCTTCCACAGGCTAGCTCAAGGTTACTGGTGAGAGGGTACAGGAGAAGTGAGGATTTAGAAAGTTTAGTCATCACCTTGGAAAATACAAATCTGCAAACCTTTTAATTTTTTGAAGAGTGCATTTTCTTTAGTTTATGTGTTTGTCATGGGGACCCAGATGTGTGTTTACTGGGGATGTAGTGGAGAGGGTTGAGGTTGAAGGTAAGCCTAGAAGGTGAGGGAAGCGTCAGATCTGGGACAGGGAGTGGGTAAGAATTGGTAAGACTGTCGAAGTGTAAGATCAGGTACCCTCCATGATTGCATGGTCAGATACTTCAAGAAAAGACTTCTGGAGTTCTTGTTTTCTCTGAACCTTGGCTATAAAACAGAAAATAAAAGAACTACTTAATCTGATTTTGAGATACACACCTATCTATTAACTAAAGACATGAGGATAGAAATTTTAACACAACTTCTAAGAAACGCTTCCTAAGCATAAAGTTCAAACACACAATCTATAACTTTCCTCGGAGCACTGGGAAGTCATATTTCCACAAGGCCAAACTTCTCAAGCTCAGAAGCTCACTAAATACTTGTTGAATGAGTGAATGGACCACTAGAGGTCTTCACCAAGGACATGAGGACCTGGTCCAACCAAGGCAGGACCTGTGTGGTGGGCCCCTCTGAGATGGTAGCCAGGGCTTCCTGCACACTTCTAGTGACAGGAGTCCCTCCCTCTTAGGGCAGCCTGTTTCCTGGCTGTACAACTCTGGTACAGGTCACCGTGGCCTATTTTCTCCTAGGTTAGAACTCCGAGGTAGTAGTCCTGTTGCCTCGGGTTACCTTTCCCCAGAAGCAGACCCTGAAATACTGCTGAGGGGTGGGGAAGGAAGACGGAGAGGAGAAGGAGATTCAAAAAGTGTTCTCTCGGGCCAGTCAGCACTGTAAGCGACTGGAGCTCAAGCCCCGTGGGGCTTTTTGGGGACATTGTAGAGCACAGCTGAGTCACCCCAAGCCAGGGGTAAGGAGGCCGCGCTTCATCCACTTACTTCCCATCTGTGATAGGAGGAGGCTGTTTCTGGGGGTGTTGACTCTCCAGTGTTTACAAGTTACCCCCTGTGCTGGCTGAGGGGTCCTGCAGCCAGAAAAAAGCCCCAAGGCAGAGTCAGGTATGGGCATTAGGTCCCTTCAGAGTGTAGCAGTGAGAGCCAGGGGCTGGGGGTGGGACCCCAAGAGCAGCTTCTGTATCTTCGCTTAGATCCTATGACTCATGTTTACTGGAACTTCTGGAAGTATTCAGACGACACAGTGCCCTTAGTAAATATCTAACAGTCTTAGAAGACAAAGTACACTAAATGACTCATTTTCTTGTCAACAACATCCCAAATAAGCAAACTGCTGATGCCAAATGAGGTTTGGCTTTTCAGTTGGCTGGGGTGGTACCAACCTCCTGTTCTCACAGTCCTGGAAACTGGATCTCCATCTCTGGGCGTCTGTCTGGCATTCGTTCCCAGTCGCCTACCCCATTCCCTCCTTCTCTTCCAGCCTCCATTCCAATAGTCAGGACCGATTGGCCCCAGCAGGAAGTGAACAAACAAAACAGATTCTGCCTAGCTGTGTGGGTCGCTGCTACATGAAGCACACAAGCTGTTTGCCTGTGGAGCTCACTTCCCTGTGTTTATCTGCCTGCAGAGATGCGCTGTGGAGCAGTGGAAAGACCACCCTGAGGACAATTGTGTTGTGGCCAGTGACAGGAGACGGGCTGGGGTGGAGCAGTGAGATCCATGAGATCCACAAGCACACTTCCCAGAAGAAAGTGGGGACAGAAAGAGGATCTTACTCCCTATCCCTGGTCTGTGGCCAGGAGGGTCTGCCCAAGGCTGGGATGGGTCAGGAGCTATGAAGGGACACAGCTGCAGGGCAGGGACAGCTGTCTAGGCAGGCCCTAGGACTGTGTGGTCCTGCTGAGGTCACAGGGAGTGCTTCTGGAAGGTGATGAACCCTCAAGGGGCCACTTGGGGGAATTTTGAGAGGAGGCAGTTTAGAGATGGTCACCACCACCACTTCATTCGATGACAGAGAAATTGAGACTGAGTGCGGGCCAGAGAGTCATCTGTGACAATAATGGCCAGACTAGGCCTCAAACCCGGGATTCTCGGTTCTTGGTCCTGAGTCTCTTCATTGTTCCCTGGAGCTGATTTCCTTGAGAAGACATTGTGAACTTCCCACTTTGGATGCTGAGGAATTGAGACATCTTTGTGCTTTGAAGGTAGTGCCTTTCAAAGCTCCATGTTGTGGATAAGCCATGAGAAGAGACATACAGCACCCCCTCCTGCATTCAGAGTCATAGGGAGAGGGGTGACACCTCTCTGCAATGCCTGGAGTGTAACGCAAGAGAAAAGGGCCTCTGGGGAGCTCAAACAGATCCTTCACTTGTAAGAGAATTCCTGGGCACATAACTGGAGCAGCTCTGATAATTGTGGCTTCCTGGTATCCTAGATCAGGGCTTCTCAGATTTTAATGTGCACATGAATCTCCCGGAGACCTTGTTGAAATGCAGATGCTGACTCAGTAGGTCTGGAGCGGCTGAGAGTCTGCATTTCTGGTAAACTCCTGGGTGATGCTGCTGCTGCTGGCTTGAGGACCACACTTTGTTTATTTTCAAAACGTTGGTCAAGAATCACCAGGGAAGTGAAATCAACTTAGTGGATCAAGATAAATATTTAAAAAAAATGAAATAGAACATTTCAGAGTCCATGATAAATAGTAAAGGTAGCTGTGATTTCGTGAACACTTAACTATTTATTTACATGTGGGTGGGGCAGGATATACAATGTGTTTGTTTACCTTGGGCGGAGGTCCAAGGTAGTTTGAGAATTGCTGCCCTAGATCACGGCACATTAGAAGCAGGAAATGAAATGGATGCAGGTGTATAAGAGAGGGGTGGGGTGGAGTGGGGAGGACGGGGATTCAAAGTGAATGTTCTGGAAGTTGTGAGTATTGACAGTGATGTCATTACCTGACAATGAAAAGGAATATGGCAAACAGCAAACAGATGGGAAATTCCAAAAACTATTAATTTGGGGATGGAGAACTTCCCTCTTCCCTAAACACAGGGCTGGGGGCTAGACCATGTGCATTTTTGTGCAAATTGAAAAAGACTCCTCTTTTGGAAAGAAGCCAAGCAATGCCCTGGCTGGATTTTGCCTCCGCTCTGTCATTCCTCCCCTCAGACGGTGGCTTTGTGCAGGACATGACACAGCTGTATGCACTGGCCCTGCCCCCACGATCTGGGGATGCCCATTTAGAGCTCAGTGTGC